TGCTCTGTCAGCTTCAGCTTCTCGTCCGAACGGCGTGATGAAGGGCGACTTCGAGTTGAGCGTCGCAGCGATGGTCAACGCTGGATCCAGAGCTCCGACGAGCGCCGCAACGAGCAGGAACTTGCCCATATGCACATCGAGCGGTAGGCGTGACAAGTGTCGGCCGAGAGCCGTAATCTCCTCGGATGCGGTCAGAGCCTTGACTTCGACCAGTGCTGCGATCGCTCGCTGGATGTTGACGCTGGAAGGCGGGTCCATAGCTTTGCTGAGAGCGTCCTCGATGCTGGTGCCGATGCGAACCTTCATGACTTTTAGCTTCAACGCCAGATCCTGCAATGACAGTCTGAGCATCTCGGGCAGTGGATGGTCCGCAAAGTATTTGTCATGTCGCAGCTTGGTAAAGAGGTGAAAGCACAGACCCTCTTGAACACGTCCAGCACGTCCTCTTCTCTGCTTCGCATTGCTCTTGGCGACGAAACATTCGACCAATCTGCTCAGCTGCCTCTTCTCGTCGAATCGCATCTCGCGATGCTTGCCGCTGTCGATCACGCATGTGATGTCTGGGATGGTGATACCCGTTTCGGCGATATTGGTCGCAATGACGATCTTGCGAACGCCTTTGGGCGGAACGTTGAAGACGGAGCCTTGATCTTCGTTGGAGATGGTCGAGTGCAAAGGGAAGATGCGGAACGATTGAGAGCCGAAGGAGCGATGCCCGTTCAGAAGATCTGTCAGCTTCCTGATGTCCGCGATACCAGGCATGAAGATCAGGATAGCTGGGCTGTACGGTCTCAATGTATCGTCCTCGAAGCAGATACGTTCGAGCAAGGTGATGATTAGCTCGTGCTGAATCACATTCTCATCCATACGGTCAAGTGTAGAGATGGTCTTCGGCCTGTACTTCTTGATCTCTTCAGTAGTCATCGTGCTTGCTGGCCCGTCTTGCTCATCATCGTCATCAAGGTCTGGTGCTTCCTCTTCAGCCTCGGTCGAGGTCAACTTGGCTCTGTTGCCTGGCACATCAGCTTTGCGCTCATTCCATCTCTTTGGCCTCCGCGCGTAGGGCGATCCGTCCTCGATAGTGTAGTCCGTAAGCTCAATGGCGTCCTCTAGATACCTCACGTCCACAGGGAAAGTCCTGCCTGGAACAGCAATGGTAGGACATCCTC